AGATATATCTGGTCTAACAGAACACTATAGAATATGACAATGGTATTAGGAGCTTCACTGTGCCCAGTGTGTACCTGCGCCCAGTGATTCTATCNCCTTAGTAATAATAATAATAGACATTCTTTATTGAGGGTAAATACATGTTTAGCAATGGGCTAATCTTCCACATGGTCCTCAATTATAAGTAGTTCCTTAATTGTTAATATAGTGGTAGAGGAGTTTTAAATAAGTGTTAATAACATTTCTATAGTGGACCTCAGGAAGAAAAATGGAGGGTGGGGGTCACACAAAAAATATGCCTCAATCTCTCCTGACAGTAAATCCCATCTCCCTTAGTCAATGTCAATCTCCCTTCTTTATAGAACTAATTCCCTACTTAAAAACAAAGTTATGATAATCACTGGTTTGACAGTATGGTACGAAATTAAAACATGTTTAACTGTAATATGCTATTGGAATATGCAACTAGAGTCCAGAAACAAGTTTCATCAATTATCTGTGTCAACATTAACCAGATTACACTATGTGTTGTATGGTTACCTCCAGGGTAGGGGATCTTGTTTCTTGCCAGCTGCCATATGAGTGGATCCTTGGTCTGGTTAATGTCCGACACAGCATTTCTGTCAAGGAACTCTGTGTAACACGGTAGCTTTCTCCATACTTCTACAATCTACAAAACATCAGGACATACTTCTACAATCTACAAAATATTAGGTCATACTTCTACGATCTACAAAACATTAGGTCATACTTCTACAATCTACAAAACATTAGGTCATACTTCTACGATCTACAAAACATCAGGACATACTTCTACAAAACATCAGGACATACTTTTACAATCTACAAAATATCAGGACATACTTCTACAATCTACAAAACATCGGGACATACTTCTACAAAACATTAGGTCATACTTCTACAATCTAGGCTAGCTTAATAATGTGATATCTATTTTTGGGGGTCCAAATGTTTTGGATGTTTTTATTTTTTTGGGGATTTAGTTTATGCCGAAAAAACTGTTACCACAAATATAGCAAAAACTAGATCCACATAAGACTTGACAGTACTTACAGTATATATGTACCTGCCTCAAATCTCAGTATTTTAAGGCAAGAAAAAATGTGCTATGATTGAAATAGAGGAAAGAACATGACGTGAACATATGCATTATATGTATTAGAGTATAATTTAAAAGATATTAAAAGATCAGTGTCAATATGTATACATATCAAAATAACAGTTGAGAGTGAAATAACTATCTATTAAATGATCTTACCTTCCTAGCACTGTCTATGCCCGAGGAGGCTAACGAGGTGCTAAATCGGACTAGGCTACCAAAATCCAAGGGGAACTTAAGACGTGAGGAATGGAATACAGACCCTAAGCCCTCCTCTAGACCCTGTAATAGACAAAGAAATAAAATCTGCAATTCAAGTTTACGTTTCCCATACAGATTTAAAAATATCTATCAATTATGGACTTCTGATGAAATTGATACATGTACAGGCATCTAATGTTGATGAAACGTCTTTTTACAAGTAGTTTTATTGAAAAGAAGTTCCTATATAACACATTCATTTATTACAAATGGTTTACTTGGTAAAATAAATCAGCATTATGGTCAAAGTTAGCCTCCATTATCTACAATAACACTGCATAATATTATCAGAGAACAGCAATGAATATCCCTTTCAAGATTAGAAACAGAAAATCATTACACATTTTTGTAGTTTTTCTCATAAAAAATAGAAACACCAAGTGAAATAATTCTTATATCGACAGCCTTTTGTTGATAATCAATTGGCAATTTTTAACATGGCAGGTCTTGTGACTCTCCAGGATTTTATTGTGAAAGAGACACAACCACATGACAATGTCATCTTTGTGGTTATTTTGTTAAACATATCCATGATTAAGAAGTGTTATTCCAATGAGAAATTGGTATACCTTGTTCCAGAAATCTTCTGACACAAATTCTTGTTTTAACAGCTTACAAATATTTGCATATAGCACCTGCAATGGAAAAGAAATGATCGATTACCAAGTTAAATATGCTTAGTTGTTTGGAACAAAACAAAAGAACATGGTATCCTTAGTTTCTAGGAAATATGTAAAAGTGTGAAGCATGTAACTGGGAAAGTGGAATTAAATTGGTAACTAAAGAAACTGACTTGAGGGTAATTGCACATCACTGATCAGTCATGTTCAGCTCCAGTTCAATTATTGTTTTCTATGGGTTTTTATAGGGAAGTAATGATGCTATTTTACTTGTATGATTATAATAAGATGAACTGTAAAGAAAGTTAAATATGTTGAACAAAGATGGGCCAGCATCCTTAATAAAAGTTAAATCCTGGTTTAAATGTTAAAATGCCTGGGTTAAAGGTTAACTACTTCAGTGAATACCTGGATTTCCCTCTCTCCCCCTAGAGATCCCTCATCAAACGCGGAGAGTAAATTCACCAGCATATTATATACAACGTAATGGGCCACTGAAGACACAAACTGAAAAGGAAAAGGTCAAAGTTTGAACATGTGTATCATTCCAACCACGCACACACCTGGAGGGTACATATCTCACTTTTTCATACCTGTATGCCTACAAACATATTCTGCAGTATTCTCAATCTCTCATACATATAAAACTACATTCAAACTTCATTCTCATCAAAATTCAAACAGACTACACATTCTATCAAAAAAAGGTTTGGTTTTACTTGCAACTGATACTACTAACAAAAATTACATGTACTATATTTTACTGTAACAATCTTCATCAGAAAAGATAAATCTGGTACATTGTTATGAATTATATAGTTTTATTCCGTGTGCAGAAACAACCTTCACATGTATCTACAAAATAGGCTTAGTACTGAGCATGTAACAATATTTACAACCAGGGACAAACCCAAACCTGTACTATTAGGTAAAATTATGGATTTATCAACCATTTTCTTTTGAAAATTAGCATTAAAAAATGTGATGAATCTCTTTTCAAATAGACAAGAAACATTCATGATTAGGACTTGTACATGTTACATTGAAAATATCTGGATTTTATGAAAATATCACACCATGCAGCTACTGCCCTTACCGATGTTTTGCTGGTAAATGGTTCAGTGTTGAGGATTTCATACAAAACATCAAACACTCGAAGTGCCAGAGCACTATTGCCCATCTTCCTGGTGATAGCGTTGTCTGTGGCCGTAGGATACACCATCCGTATCGCCACCCAGGAGAGTAGCAGAGGTCCATGGGAAGGGTCTGACCCCAGGGTCTGTATCACCTCATCCAACCTCTGTAACAAGGGTCAAAGGTACACAAAGGGTCTATTACAGGTCAGTCTATGCAATAAAGGTCAGATACAGATCAATTACTTTTAAATGGGTCAGTCACTATACTATAGGTCAGTTACTAAACATTGGTCAGTCACTATAATATAGGTATGTCATTATTATATAGATCAGTCATTATTATATATGTCAGTTGGTACTTACTAAAGCATAGGTCAGTCTTTATCATATGTCAGTTACTAAAACATAGGTCAGTCGATATAATATAGGTTTGCCACTAAAACACAGGTCAGTCGATGTAATATAGGTTTGCCACTAAAACATAGGTCAGTCATTACAATGTAGATCAGTAACTATATTTGAGGTCAATCAGTACAATATGTCAATCTTTTCATAATCCATTCAAACTTCATCATAATCCACCATCAAATCTTGTCAGAATTAACATAAACCTACCACAACACATATATTGCCAGATTAACTCATTTTCTAGCCAGTTGTAAAAATGATGGCATTTATTTTTTAACCTTTTTTTTTAGAAAGTCCCCAGGAACGAAGTTTCATATTTGCCATCAAATCTGATACTCACCTTAAATGAATTTGGATCTTTGAGAATACAGTGTCCATCAAAACTGGAAAAGATAAGTACTAGTTCAGCTCTACTACACAGAGACACATCATAATATACAAAGATTACCTACCTATTTCACCTGTTATTCTCATACGTAAAAAGATTGGCATTATTTCCTGTGCATATCATGCAGGCTATTTGGCTTATCAATCTGAAATGCCTTTTATGGGTTATTTTTGAAGCACGCTCTCCACTTTTTTGCTTCATATAAATGTGTCACTGTACTACCTGACCATTGTTAGGGTAAGGAGGTGTATCTAAGCTCCAGTTCCCTTTATTGTACTGTATATGGTTCACTTGATTATACTCTATATGGTAAGAACACCTAGGAGCGACCAACTGTACAGTTATCTCCCCTGAATCACCATGTCGACTCGTACCTGCCCAGGTGTGTACAGCCATGAACCATCTCCAGGTCCAGAGTTTCTAACAATATCAACATCTCAAGATGGCTGTGAAAAAATAATAACATTCACAATTGTATGACATTAATGACTGGCTGAAATCTAAGATTAATTGGTATTCTAGCACAATTGCTTCCATCATACACAGTAAACAAAGCATAAACATTTTGTTTGTACAGTACAGATATAGAAATGACCAATGGTACTATAAGATGAATGTCTTACACTGAATAGACACATTTGCACTTACAACATAACATGAAACTGCACTAGTATTTACAATTCTTGTCATGGCTAGTTAAACTGTAATAATGAACATGGGTACAATTTACTACAGCTTAACCATTAATATAAAACAAACTCCTTTAGTAAAAGCAATCTTTTGCTAATTTGTACCCACAAAACTCCATGGAAAGACATTTTTTGACAAATGATCAAGTTATATTGATACATATTATCATAGTAAACTGTTAAACTGATTTATGCGTATACACATCATAAGTGAAAGACAACCTGTCACATACACCACACAGCGAACTCTACTCACCCAATCTTCTTGATGAAAGGCTCCGCTGGATCCTCTAGAATGTGCTTGTACTTCTGATGTCTACCAAAACCATGACGCTACAACAAAAACAAATACATAATTGTTATTTATTTGGTGTTCATCTCTATACATGTTTAATTTATTATGATAAAAAGTCTTTCACATGAAAAGCTTCTTTATGAGATTTTTGCAAATGTGCAAAATTTCGAAGGAGGTTTTTTACATAAAGAATGTATAATTGTTTAAATACATGAATATTGAAGTATCAATGAAAACTTTTGATGTTTTACAAACATACAACAGAAACACTAACTATGCCGTAATGTAATGTTTGATTTGAGTGTAGTTTACAAAAACATAAAGATACAATTGTTACCATTGTAAATATATGACCCTAACTTAAACATTTCCACTAAGTTAATAGTATATATTGTAAATATACTACCCTATCTAAAATATTTCCACTAAGTTATTAGTATATATTGTAAATATACTACCCTACCTTAAACATTTCCATTAAGTTAATAGTATATATTGTAAATATACTATCCTACCTTAAACATTTCCACTAAGTTAATAGCCTGGTCAGTGTTGATTTCGATGTCCTTCAAAAAGATCACCAGAATTTCCAGTAGTTCACACTGTGAAAACAAAGATTTAAGTAAATAAAAAGGTAAGATATCAATGTTTCAAATTTCNGAAAAACATTCAATTTTGTCAAATCTGTGTACAGGTAAATAATACAAATCACTCACTCAGTCATAGCTTGACAAAGGGACCAGTCGGTTTTGAAATGTCGCGACACGTTTAATATATACATTGTTTGTGTAGAAAGTAAAACTTTGATATCACATTTTTCCAAACTGTTGAATCTTATTGAAGATATGAAATATCATGTTTTATTTTTAATTTAACAGTCACGTCTCAATTTTCCTTTTTTTGTTTCCTGTTGTTTGGTTAGAGAATCAGTTGGATTAAAAGGTCACACATGGCCTTGTTATATATTACATTCTGTTTGTGTTTTGTGTTTTTAAATTCATCTATCCACCTGCCTGAATAAATGCATCATTCAATAAAAGGACAATGGAAATACTTTCTCCAGATTGCTGGCTGGAGCTGTAAACAGGGACAACAGGAGGTACAGGTCAAATTAACATTTGGGAAATCAATTTCAAATATAACCGGCCCAATGGTAAGACAACAGACTTTTGAAGACATAACTAATAAGGCTGGACTGTACACCTATTAAGCATTGAAGTATTTTTCAATACTTACTCAGTGGTAGGTAGTGAGATTGACATTGGTGGTTGAAGTCATCTGTATATTTTTCTGATCCTAGAAATGTTTAATAATTTAGTATTACCAACCTGCTCCAGTAAATTTTGGTGGGCCCATACATGTGCTTGTCTCTCAGTCTGAAATAATAAAATTATATAATAAAATTCACAAAAAAATAAAACATGTCAATATTTGGCACCCAACAGTAAGTTTTATCAGATAAGAAAATCAATGTATCTTTTATCTTCCTAGTCGGCCAATAAATAAAGTACCAACTTACTGGTGACAGCTTGCGGTGATTGACTCCTACTGATTATATTTATATATCTCATCAATTGTACTGCATACCTTGGGTATCTATGTTCAAGCGCAGCACCCCACTGAATAACCCACTAACTTTTGAACTGATGTTGGCTCTATTTTCCTGTTTTGTCTTCCTTATTATAGTCAAGTATTTCAGAAAATCTTTCCCATTGTCTACTATGCCTGTAATGGAGCACACTGTTTAATACATGTACTTGACAACTGAGGGAAAGGATTACCTGTAAATCAGTAAGAACATTATCCTGATGGTTAATGCCGCATATAGCAATATATGTGTATATAATATTTGTATACTTGATTGACAGAACAAAAATCAAATGTGTTAACACAACATATTCACCGACTAAAACAGGTTTTATGTGTTGACAAAAATAAATTTAACAAACAGACTTCAATGTGACTTACCATCATTGTTCCATTGGTCTCCCATGTAGGTAGCTGTTCCTTGATACAGCCCTTAAACTGGTCCAATAACTACAGAAAAATGGCAAGATATATCTCATTGACTAAATGAAATAGAATACCACGATTATATGAAGTTTTCATTTTTTAGATAATCAGGTCATGTTCACTTTGAAACTGCATTACTTTAATTCATTGCTGGAAACAGTTTTATTTTGGAAGATCTTTCCTTGTACATGTATATAAATGTTAAACATTTAACTAAGTAGCTTTAAATTGAACAGTCTGGTGTTCTAGAGACTCGCTATGTAGTCTTACCTTTGCCATGATATCTCCATCAGTAGTTAACCTCCTCATAAACTGTTCAAGCTCATCCTGAAAGGTAACAAGTAAAATTAAGATCTTATGTACCATTACAAAATATAAATGATCTGCAAAAATGTTTGCTTCCATCTGTTTGTAACAATATGGCACATTTCCAAACATTTTATTACAAAATTGTGTAACAACCAAGAGATCTGTATGAGGTCAAACCTGTCTATAACCATCTGAGGGAGAAACAGTCCACAGACAATTGGTTTTTAGACATATGTAAGTTTTATATCTAGAGAATGAGATAACCAGTAGTTACAATGTATGGACAGATAATCTTTGTACCAGTTGATTGTAGACCATACACCACCTCACTCGACTAAAACATTCTTTATAATCACAATATAAAAATCAAATAATTCTTGATTTTTAGCATAAAAAAAATCCTGCCATTTAACTTTTTGAGATGTAGTGGTTGTTATGACTACCTTGTAGGGATGGTCGTCATCCTGCCAGAAGTTGATGACGACTTTAACACACTGTAACAGGTAAAGTCTCTCCGTGTAGTAATAGTCACGGATCTTGTAAACCAGGGCCTGGGTGTGACGCTCATTGCTGAGGATTTGCTGGGGACACCAGAAATCAACATGATTAAAACATTGTACAAGATGCTTTTTGTTCATATAAAATGACTGTTTCATCTGCTTTTAAATGTAACCCCAGAGGTACAGCCTGGCAGGCCTGTACATTTTAATGTAGGCCTGACAACGCTTTGGTTTGCCTTAGTGCTTTGGTGAGAAAATGACTACTATGGCTACATTCGCGTATCCCGGTTGAAACGGTACGTGTGACGCAGAAATTTTCCAAGATAAATGAACGCACTTGGACCGTTCTATAAGCAGAGCTGAAAATGCACAGTTTCGCNATGCAGTGTGTATACGCTCCCTATCGATAGGCGAAACGTCTTGGGTTGAGTGACATGAAAAACATTCAATTTTGTCAAATCTGNGACTTTCTACACAAACAATGTACGTATTAAACGTGTCTCAATGTTTCAAGACGAGGAGATCCAGCTGAGTCATCTATTTGACCAGATACTGACATAACAGGTGAGGGGGCTAGATCTACACCCTACCTGTAACCTATCTGATGCAGTGTGTATACGCTCCCTATAACAGGTGAGGGGGGATAGATCTACACCCTACCTGTAACCTATCTGATGCAGTGTGTATACGCTCCCTATAACAGGTGAGGGGGGATAGATCTACACCCTACCTGTAACCTATCTGATGCAGTGTGTATACGCTCCCTATAACAGGTGAGGGGGGATAGATCTACACCCTACCTGTAACCTATCTGATGCAGTGTGTATACGCTCCCTATAACAGGTGAGGGGGGATAGATCTACACCCTACCTGTAACCTATCTGATGCAGTGTGTATACGCTCCCTATAACAGGTGAGGGGGGATAGATCTACACCCTACCTGTAACCTATCTGATGCAGTGTGTATACGCTCCCTATAACAGGTGAGGGG